GGCACTGGAGTGGGCCCATGCCAGGCTTAGGCTTCAGGCAGGATGCTGCAGGAGGGCTGAGCTCCCTTCAGGGTTCTGGAATCCTCGGCTAGGTTTCCTGTCCCAAGAGGGCCAGTGTCACTTCTGAGCTAGACTGCACACGCTCCTTGTGACGGCCCTGTGGTACTGTTGCTGTCTCCCCATCACATGCCCAAGAGGAAGCAGATGCAGAATTTGAGCCCAGCAGGAGGGAAGCTAGGGTTTACTTAGTCTGGAGGGCTGGCTCCCTGTAGGGCCTGGACCCGCTGGGCCCCCACTCCAGGCTGGGTATGCTCCCTCTATACTCACTCAGCCCAGTCACACCACCTTGGGGTCGATTCCTAGCAGAGCAGTTTTCAAAGGGAGGCCCAGGGACACCTGTAGGTAACCTGAGACCCTTCTAGGAGGCCATGAGGCCAAAACTATTTTCAAAATAATAACATTATTTGTCCTTTATTCTCCGAAAAAAAAATACAATGGAATATTCCAAAAGCTAAATGATGTGTGATGACATCATCCCTCTGTCAGCTACTGGAATGTGTGCTTGAGTTTGAATTTTTGTTTTAATTTCTAATATGATAAATATCAATGGATATAACCCACATAAACAGACACTTTTTTGGGTCCCTCTCTACAATTATGAGAAACACCATCATGGGTGACTGTCTCCCTGTCCAGACTGCCTTTCCCCCACCTATTCTCGATTCTCCTGGCTGTTCTTCATTAGCCTCCTGGGTGCTGCTTGAATGTCACCAGCCCAGCCAGACCCTGGTGCTGCTCCTAACCAGGATGAATCATAACTCTAAGTGTTTTATTCATCTGTTTGTGGGCCAGTTTGTTGCCATCTGTCATCCTGGAATGGGCTGACAGAAGTATAAAGGATGGAACAAGGAGGACCCTGTCTGCATCAGGACCCTGTCCCCAGGGCCAGACATCAGGTCTGTGTTCAGTAAAAGTGCCGAGCGGCTGACGCCCAGACAGACCAAGAGCCGTGTGCTGGCCTACGCGTGATGCTGGGCTTTCCCTACCTTCTGCCACTGCAGGCTACCCGGTACCAGCATGCCATGGTGTTGGATGCTGCGGTTCTCTGTGGCCCTCACATCACTGTAGCCCATCTATAATTAGACCTGCCTCACACGCCTCCCAGAGCTGCAAGCATAAGGACCCTGAAAAGGACAAGCCCCCGTGAGGGCCCAGGGCTTCTTAGAAAGCAAGGGTGAGTCTGAATCTGGGTTTGTCCTCCCCTACTCCCACCACAGGCTTAAATTTGAGAAGACACAGGTGACAAAAATAATAGATAAGAGCAAAAACAATAGCTTAACATTTTAAGGGTTAAGCATTTGGCATGTGCCAGGCACAGTGTCACGATCTGGTTGTGTGTGACATTATGGAATCACCATGTGTACTCCACTATGAGGATGGGGTAGTATATTCATTTCCTGTGACTACCATAAACTGGGTGGCTTAAAACAACACAAATGCACTTTCTCACTGTTTGAGAGGGCAGAAGTCTAAGATCAAGGTGTTGGCAACTCACTCTCCTGCCCACCTCTATTCTTTCTGAAGGCTCTGCTGGCAGGGGGGAAGTGGGAATCCATTTCATGCTTCTCTCCTAGCTTCTAGGGGCCTGCCCTACAATGCTTGGTGTTCCTTGGCTTGTAGATGCATCACTCCAATCTCTTCTTCTGTCATCGCTTGGCCTTCTCTTCTGGGTCCTTTCCCCTTCTCTTCTTTTCTAAGGACACTTGTGATCTCATTTCAAGATCCTTACCTTAATTGTATCTACAAAGACCCTTTTTCCAAATAAGGAAAGGGATTCAAGGATTTCTTGGTTCAGAGGATCAGGACTTGGACATCTTTTTGGGGAAGCACTCTTTACTCCACCATAGAGGCGATTATCTGAGGCCATCAATACACTGTGAAGACAGGTCTGAACCTCATCCGTCGCACTTGGCACATTGAGCTCTTGAACTCAGCACCCAGTCACACAGAAATGAAACCACTGTATTTAATGCTGGACCTTTCCAAATATTTAATGACCAATGTGCATTGTGAAGTTCCTAGAGTAGACTTAGCATGCAGCATTTCTCAAACTTTTTTGTTGACAAGAATTTCCCCCCCAGAACCAATTAACAATATATTCAATTCTAAAAAGACACATAACACAGAAGAACTTACAACGACAACAACAAAAATCCTGTTCCCAGTGCAGCCTCACTCCCCAGAGACCAAGACTGCTCTGATTTTAGTTGTGTTGGTGGTTTCTGACATAAACTGTATTATTATTATATTTTTTACTGTTCTTTGATGTATCAGATTTAGATAACGATCTGTTATCTCCCTTCCATAAAATTTAAGGATTTACCTCATTCCTACCCCTCCCCTCACCTCCTCCTGAATTGATGGATGCATTATTATTTTAATTTTTAGTTGATTATCCTTATAACTTTAACCTCATTCAGACCTTTCCTTTGTGCATGTGTGTGTTCCTACCTTTCTTGTACATCCACATTCTCTATTGGGGCCATGAGTCAGTTGTCTATAACATGGATTCTAAGCACTGACAACTAGCTGGTGGTAGGGTTCACATGACCATGACTGTGGAAAGATTACTTCCATATACCAGGGCCTGTACAGGGATTTCATTCCCTCCTGCTGCCTCATGGGGTTGTTGTGAAAGATAAATAGTATAACATACAAAAAACCCCTAGACTAGTGTTTGGCTCAGAGCTCTTCCCTGATTGCTCATAGTCTTGTAGCATTTTAGTTTGCTTCAAATTTAGACCCCAATTTTCTTGCATGTCTTCTCTTTTTCCTGGAGTTTCTAATTGCCTCTTTTTTCTTTTAACCAAAGAATAGTATGTGCCTTCACTATGTCCTGAAGTTTATTCAGTCTCTTGATCATACTCTCTGATGCATGGAACTCACTTTCTTCTTGGAACTATCCTCCTATGAATCCTGCCTCAGTGGTCCTCAGGTCTCTGCCTCACTCTCCTGAACACCCCTTCATTTTTCACTCATTTCTCTGGCTTCTCGGTTTTTTTCTTACTTTTGCTGGAGTTTGAGAGGTAAATTTGGAAGAACCTATTTCTTTGTCATCTAGAATCCAGTGTGATTTATGAGAAGTCTAGTGTGTGTCCCAGCCTTATTCTCTTATGGATAACTTGGTATTTGTTTCTTATCTCTTTCTAATAAGTTTTGTGGTCTCTTTTTACTCAGTGTTCTGACATTGCAGAATTTCTCATAGCAGGAGCCTTTATGCACTACACTGCCCATATCTGTGCTAACTAGTCTTATTTGATTCTGACAGATACCGTTTTCTTGTTTCTTTGATAATTTGCTCTCCTCCCTTTTTTTCTGTTCTTTAACAAACAGAAATTAGTTGAATATTGCACCCCCAGGATTGATTCCCTATAACTCTGAACTATCATTTGTAACTGTTATATAGGTTTGGGAAATGATGGTTTGCTCTCCTACTTGATTTTGAATCCTCCCCACCAACAGACACCCTTTCCCCCTCCAAAGAAAACCCCCAGAAAATCAATAAGAACATATACAACCACACATAGCTCTTAGTTTCAGCATTACTAGGAGACAGAGAATGCAGCAACATTCACATATTTCCAAAACCTTTTTAATGTTGTTCCATTTTTTCTGGGATATTTCCTTGAGTTTATTTCCAGCTTTTCTGTGGAATTTTTGTTTAGGCAACAATACTCTCAATTTCTAAACACTATTTTTTGTTCTCTGAACTTCCTTTTGATGGTATCATGTTTGCTTTATGCATGAATTTTGTCTGAAATTTCTCTCAGAATGCTAATTAGAATTTTTAGGTTGGCATTCTCTTCTGTCTCCTGGCTTCACTCTTTTTCCTCTGGAGTAAGCTTTGTTTTGTTGCTCTTGGACTTCTCCCTTTCGTGCTGCTGGTTTTCCTTGGCCATCTGGCCATCCTTGGGTGTTTGTTTATATTTAAGGTTGATGGGCTCATTTGGGGTGGGTGGTGTGGATTTCCTCCTCCAGGCACAGGTAGGCCAGCTTCGAGGACTGGCTGTTGGCTTTAGGGCCAGAGTGGGGGAGGCAGGGCAAGGTAAAGGGTTGGAAGGGTGGCTGTGTGGCCACCCCCGGTGCCATAAGGGCTGCATTCTGGGGTGCCAGGAGCTCCTGCTGGTTCTCTCTGAGCGGTTGATGTCATTTTTTTGTGTGGCTCAGAGTTTGCCTGGGTAAATGCTGGCCTGTTCCCTGCTCTGAGCAAGCGATAAGAGGGAGGAGGGGTTCCTGATTGCAACCGACATTTGTTACCTCCCACTCATGGAGTGTTCTGAGTAGCCACCCTTGTCTGTCTCCGTTCTTGGGTCTGCAAGAGCCTGTTGTAGTCTCCTGTTCTGCTGGCTGTTGCCTGTTGGCCACATTGGAACTAATGTAAGAGAGGGGGCAATAAGAGAAGGAAATTCCCAGGTCTGTGCTCCTTATGTTATAGGTGAGGAAACTGAGGAGGGGTCAGGATGGTGGTAGGGCACTTGGGTTTGGGAATTGTCTCTTGGCCCTGAACGGTGTGGGGCTCTGAAGTGTGGCTCCCCTGGGATCAGTGTGGGGCAGCTGGACTTTCGCAGACCTGCAGGTCCTTCCTGGCCCTAGACCCTTCACTCCTGTTCCCCATCTTTGATCCTGAAGATGGGCCTGAGCTCCCCACAAGCCAGGGCCAGGGGGCCTGCACAGGTTGTTGGGTGCCACGACCAGGGGCCTTGGGCCCTGCAGCCACATTACCTGAGATGCTGCCATTTCATCCTGGGAGGTGTCTGCTGCCACCTTGGGTACCGGCTGGAGGGCACTGGCAGGGTACACCTTTGCCCTGATGGCTTTGTCACAGAGGGCTGGTGGAGACAGGGCGCAGAGGGCGGGGACCAGCTAGGGGTGGGGAGGAGCGGGCTGCGTGGAGGGCAGGGCCAGCAGCAGGGACTGACGCTCTGCCCTGTCACCCGCAGGTGAGAGGCCCTTCGCCTGCAGCTGGCAGGACTGCAACAAGAAGTTTGCGCGCTCGGACGAGCTGGCCCGGCACTACCGCACGCACACGGGCGAGAAGAAGTTCAGCTGCCCCATCTGCGAGAAGCGCTTCATGCGCAGCGACCACCTGACGAAGCACGCGCGCCGCCACGCCAACTTCCACCCGGGCATGCTGCAGCGGCGCAGCGGGGGCTCGCGGACCGGCTCCCTCAGCGACTACAGCCGCTCGGACGCCAGCAGCCCCACCATCAGCCCGGCCAGCTCGCCCTGAGCCGGGCCCCTGCCAGCCCGCGGCAGCACAGCCCCGCCCTACCCGCCCCGGGGCCTCGCCCCTCCACCCCCCCCACCCCCCCCCACCCCCACCACCCCGCTTCTGCGGGCGCCCTGCCCCACTCCGCCCCGCCCACCCCGGGGCTGGCCGAGGACCCTCCGCCCCCACTACAGCCATGAGCAGATGCTCGCCCTTCTCGTGATGCCCTGTCTTTTCCTCTTGTAATAAGAAAGAAGAGAGAACTTTATGAAGTCAATAACAACAACACAACAAACAATTTCTTCACCTCAGGTGTCAAAGTAAATTTGTAAAAAAACAAAAAATTTTCAAAAAACACCATCCACAAATTGCACAATAGACATACCCACAAAGGTGAGATTCAGTGGTGTTGAACCCCCCCCCCCTTTCTCAGGGATGGACATGTTCCACGAGGTCAGTGAGGACACCCCTTTCCTGCCGCCTTATTCTGTACATAGATTTGCACTCTGGAGTTTTCTGTTAGGTTCGGGAACACACTGGGGACAAAGGAGACGAAGCAGTGCAGGTGGGGCTCAGCACCCAGCCTGTGGGTCAGTTGATCGGTCAGTTCTGAGCGAACACGGTCACTGACATTTGCTTCCAGGCCAGATTCCCAAGCCGGGGGCCTCCCGGCCGCCAAGCCTCTGCCCCAGCAGCCCGGCCGGGCTCAGGACATAGATGATTCAGAGGGATGCCTTAAGCTGTACTGGGCAAGAGAAGCACTCCACCTGGGGAGACCACAAAGGCACCCGCCTTGTGCGGGGGCCCTGCCCATCTCCCTCCCCCTGCCTCCAGGAGCCTTTCTCTGGGCCTCTCAGAGCACTGGAAGCAGAGATGCGAGCCTGGGTTGATCAGCCCGCTGCACCATCTGAAGTCCGATGTGACAGGGCCCGGGCCACGTTTGCCCAGCCCTTGGCCTGCCTGAGGTATGTGCCCCGCGTAGGGACACCTGATGGTCTGTGTCCTGCAAGAAGGCACATGGGGACCTCTCACTCTCTCATGTTCTCTGACTGGAAAACAGCCTGGGAACCCAGTCTTCTTCAGAGATGGCCGAAAGTGTCTCTGGTGCCTCCAGTTCCTGTGTTCCCTTGGACCGGCCCTGCTCTCAAGACACCTTTGTTTGAAACCGCGGGGAAGGTTGTTGGGCCACCTTGCCAGAGGCCCAGTGTGTGTGGCCGTGCACGTGGCAGCGCTCGGTGCTTCACAGAGACAGTTCTGTAGCAAGAGACCGGAACATTGTGACTTGGAACTTTTCGGGAGTGGTAAAGCAGATGTTATGGGAAATGCTGTCGGAGAATGTGCATTCTGTTTCCTCCCCGGGGAACACCAGACAGAAAGTTGTGGGAAATACTTTGCTCAGACCCACCGTGTTCCCAGCTCGGAATTAGCAAACCTCCAGCTTCTCCATGAGCTTTGCACCCCCTGGACTTCTCCCTTTCCCTCCCACTCCTCCCCTCCTGCCTGGGAGGCCCCGGCCCACACCTGCCCGCCCGTGGTGCAGTAGGGCTCCGGAGTGCTCCGTTGCCAGCGTTCTCCTGCTGGGAGAGGAAGAGCAGAGAGCTGAGCGGTTTCTCTGGAGTCCCCCGCCTGGGCTGGGCTGGGGCTTGAGCCCTGGCGGGGCAGTCAGGCTGGGCTCCAGCATGCTGCTCCTCTGCAGACATTTGGAGGCTCCTGCTCAGTGCCGCTGCCTGGGCACCTCCCTTTCCTTCTTCCTGAGAGTTGGGGCGTGTAAATACAAGCCCCTAGGACAGCGTGTGTGTGTGTGTGTGTGTGTGTGTGTGTTGGGGTGGGGGGGTGTGGGTTTGGGGTGGATTTGAGGTATCTCGCAGAGACCTCTGCTCATTTTGGTGAGGAGGAATGACCCTTGGGACCTCAGAGGGCTGTAGATGGGCTTCCTGGGCCCAGAGTGCCTTGGTTGTGGCCATCCTGCGTCCACCCCACCGTATCCCGGCATGGGGTGCAGCACAGAGAAGCCCCAGAGACCCAGGCCTGGCTGGTGCTCACAGCCCTTGGCTGCAGCTTTGGGCTGGCACCCTCTGCCCATAATGACCACAAGGGTGGCAATCTGCCGGATGCAGCACTTGGGTGCCCCTTTCAAACTCTACTGTGTGTCATCTGGGATCGGCCAGGGGCATGGTGGTGACTTCTGAGTAGCATGTTAGGTACCAAGTTGGGCAGTAGCATTGTTCTTGCTGTGGGTGAAAGCCAAGCAGGGCTGGGGGGTCAGATGCAGAGCTGACAGCCCTAGCTGCCGTGTCCCATTTGGGCTGCACGACAGCCCTGCTTGCGTTTGGTCTGGAAGAGAGGGTGGAAGATCCTATAGAGACCTGGACAGAAGAGCGCCCTGAGTGCTTGGGGTGAGAGATCTTCGTGCCCAGTTCCAAAGTGAGGCCCAGAAGGCCCTCGGAGGCCCCTCCCAAAGTTGTTTCTGTGTGAGGCATAGAAAGCCACACTCTGAATACATTTCATGTCTCAGGAACTCACATTCCAGGTTCAGGAATTTTATTCCAAAGTCCTTTGGTGTGCTCACCGTCCACGGGTCCCCGAAGGCAGGGAGAGGGAGCTGTGTGTCTCTGGGAGGCCACACAGTGTTATCCCCTTGAGGAGCCAGGAGTCTCCTTGTGATCTGCCCGCTGGCACCTCAGAAGGAGGGTTTCTAACCCCACATCTGTCTGCACATAGGAAGGGGAGTAAGGACTCTAAACCCAGTCATCTTGGAATAAAAGAAGAGCTGGTTTGTTTTAGAGGTGGGGTGGGGGGTGGGGGAGGGAAAGCGGGTGTTTGCTGTTTCCAAAGAGAGCACTTAATTTAATTTTTCCTCTAAATGACCCAGGGCTGTTCCGTCAGATAGATGGAAGGGTAACATTGCCTTAAAACAGAAATATGCAGGCATTGACTATTTTTGGCAAATGAGTGTGTCTTCATTCCCAAAGCGGTTCTGGTCTAATGGCAGGGTGTGGTCCTTCCGCTATGGGCCTGGCCTGGGAGATGGGGCACTGCTCTGCTGACTTAGGGCACCTGGAGGGAATCCCCGCCTGGCTTCCCTGGGCACTTGGCCTGGGGCTCCGGTCGGACCATCCTGACTCATCTGGGGCTAAAATTCATCTCACTTGAAGGGTGGGAAAAATCCATGAACCTCAGGCGAGGTTTAAATGGGCTCTCCCTGGCATCTCATCACCATGAAATGAGTGCTCGTGGAAGGGGGCGGTGGGCCTTGGAAAGCTACTCCCTGGGGCCCCCACCGGAAGCAGTTACATGGGGTGGACCCTCCTGAAACAGCCTGCATTTTCTTCTAAGATGTAGAATGTCTTCCCAGCCTGGGTCTATTTCAGGGTCTTTCATTTTTCTGGTTTATGGCCATGCTTGCTGGCTTTGGTGTGATTGAAGAACCCATAGGACTCCTAGACATAATAGTGAAAACTCAAACCTTTATTTTGTAGCAGACTTGTTCTCACAGGCCAAGGGGGCAGAGATCTCAAAATGAAGGTTGCCTGAACAAAGGGAGAATTTCCTCCAAAAAATCCTAAAAGTGACCCTGGACTCAACCATCAGGGGGCTGGTGGTTAGCTCACGTCCCAAATAAGAAAGCCCCTCTTTGCGTCAGTCATGTGAGGGGACCAGTTGTCAGCTCCCTATATGCCCACGGAATCCTACAGCCATCTGGAAAGGAACAGGTGAACACAGCCATTTCCACAAAGGGCCCCGGGGTCCTCTTCTGTAGGGTGCTATGTAGGAACAGGCAGCGATGCCCTTGATGGGAATGTAGTCCTGGAGGTGCCCTACCTGCATCCCACCACACCCCCACTATGGCACTTGAGGTGCAGGACACTACCCACCCTTTATTCTGAGGCCATGCAACCGGGCAGGTGCAGGATTCGCCACGGTGCAGCCTCCAGGTGCAAACATCAGTGGGACTGGGGTCCCCAGATCTCACCGTGCCCTGGGTCACAGCTCAGACCAGTGGGGAGTGACTTGGAGATAGGGACAGACAGGCCACAGGTTAGCCCCCAGCCCACCTGTTGGGACATGAAGAGAGGGCCGGTGGCTTTCTATGGTCCCAAGGGAAGGGTGGCAGAACTGGGGTCTCCAGTTGAGCTCTCTGCTGCCCAGCCCAGAGTCTTCAGAAGACCCAGCCTCCTTTCTTCCCAGAAGCAGGTGCTAAGGTGGACGGCACAGGGTCATAGCACTCGCCAGGGACTTCATCCGTGGTTTCAGTGAGCAGGAGTGCCACCTAACAAGAAAGTGTGGTCTGAGCAATAGCGTCCCATTGTCATTTAACTCCTGGTTTGGGCTGTTTACAAGGCTACCTGATTATTTTGACTTCTGACAGATATCACTGATTTTTTTTTTTTAAACCCATTTTTAAAAGTCATTCAGTCAAAAACAGTGCTGGAAGGTTTAAAGGGTCTGATGTAGTGGTCACATCGAAAACAGTAAGAGATGCTTTGTTGGTCACCCATATCTTTTGCTACCCAAAGATTCCATATGCGATTCTCGTGACCATGTTTTCCAAAGGTAAAATCGAGGATGTGGGCCTACAATTTCTGAAGGCAGGATTGCCCTGGGAAGAGCCAGCTCCCTATGACTGATATTCCCAATTCTGAGGCTCAGTTTCAAAGGTTTGTCCAAGATACATTCCAGAGAATTTTGTACCAGAATTTGGATGCACAATCCAGCTTACTACTGATAAATGCCTGCACATCATTTAGGGCAAGGCCTTTCCTCCCACCCACTGCCCTGTCCTTCACTGGTGTGAAGATTGGCTTTGGTGGGAGCTTTGAGCCCCAGATCCATGAGGGCAGAGGGGCCATACTTGGTTTCTTCTGATCCCCTGTAGCAATGTCAGACTTGCAGTGCGTCCAGCTGGCCCTGCCCAGCCTCTCCCCTTCTCATGCAGCTTTAAAACCTTACTACTTTTATTTAAAGATGAACAAGATGGGAGGGGAGGGGACCACATGAGCAGCTTTCTCCCAGGGCTCAGGAGCGTTTTCCCAGGGACGTGTTGACAGGTTGTTGTACATGCTTATTTA